TGTACCAGGGAAGGGTGATGGAAAAGAGGCAGGACCTGATTGACTCATCTGTTTCTTGTACAAGGACACAATTGTTCCTTGTGCAGTTATAATCTGATGATTGTCCTGTGGCTGATTCTTGCTTTCTGTCTTAGTTTGTTCCAAGTCCCTGAGGCTTCCTTGGGAACATCTGTCTACCTATAGTTCTTAGACAGGGGATTGCTTTGTTGGTTCTCTGTCAGTCTTAATTCTATCTATGCATGTCATCTGAGATTTTCTCAAACTTTCTAGTTCAATTTTAGCCCTCCTTTTTGTTTCCAGTTATCATTTAATAAAAAGAACTTGTATTTTAGAGACTGTAGAGGGATCAGAAAAGTGAGTGTCAAGTGTTTAGTCTGCAATCATTAAAGACAGAGAATATCTCATAAGTTTAGATCTGTGTTACTTACCTGATTATGATTTATGGACACTTTCTTTCCCTTTCCCTTTTATTTGTTCTTTTCCTTATTTATTTATTTTATTATTATTTTCAGAGACTCACTCTAAAAAAATAGGATCTCACTGTGTCCCTGAGGCTGGAATGGAACTACTGGTGCATGTCACCATGCCTGGCTAAATTAAAAACTTTTTTTTTTGGTAGAGACAGGGTCTCACTTTGTTGGCCAGGCTGGTCTTGAACTCTTGGCCTTAGTGATCCTTCCATCTCATCCTCCTAAAGTGCTGGAGATTACAGATGTGAGCCACTTTACCCGGCCAAAGTTTTCATTTTTTAATATGATGTATAAGGTATATAGAAGTGCTTTTTTTTCTTTTGAGACAGAGTCTCACTCCGTCACCCAGGCTGGAGTGCAGTGGCACGATCTCGGCTCACTGCAACCTCCACCTCCCGGGTTCAAGCGATTCTCCTGCCTCAGCCTCCCGAGTAGCTGGGATTGCAGGCACCCACCACCACGCCCAGCTAATTTTTGTATTTTTTAGGAGAGATGGGGTTTCACCATGTTGGCTAGGCTGGCCTCGAACTTCTGACCTCAAGTGATCTGCCCACCTCGGCCTCCCAAAGTGCTGGGATTACAGGCGTGAGCCACCGTGCCCAGCAGAAGTGCTTCTAACTTCCCAAGTGTTTAGGCTTTTTGTTTTATATTTGTTATTTTTACTTTTCTCCTTTTACTACATCAAAATGAGTCCTTTATAATTTCTGCTTTAGGGAATTCTAATAATTTATCTTTGTGGTCTAATATAAAATCATTTTTAATGTATGCCATGAATGTAGTCAACTATTAAGAATAATGTAGTAATAGTGACTTGCTCATTCAGCACAAATTGTCATGACACAATGGTAATTTCTGTGTCATGACATGTGGATTATCTCCTGATTCTTAGAACAGCATGAGGTACATATTATTTCCTGCTTGTTGTGCCTACCAGGCACATGAAAGATGAGTAATTATCCCAGGGTGCTGTCTGCCTTGCCCCCAATGGTGGGGTCAGGGCCAGGTCCAAGACTTTGAATTCGAGTCTTAGACAACATCCTATACAGCCTCCCACTGAGTAAGAGTAGTCTCTGTAGGGTGTAGACTTTGATAGATACATCTGTTAGTTTGACTTTGTAGTTTTATTTAGGATGCTCGAATGTGTGAATGTATTGATGAATGTATTCATTGTTGCCTTCTCTCTCTGCTTGGAAGAGAAAAAAATTGAAGTATACCACTACTATGGGTTTACTTTTCATGCTTTGTTATTTGGTGTATAAAGATTCACACCAGGCTGGGCGCCGTGGCTCATGCCTATATCTCAGCATTTTGGGAGGCTGAGGCGGGTGGATCACGACGTCAGGAGTTCAAGACCAGCCTGGCCAACATGGTGAAACCCTGTCTCTACTAAAAATACAAAAATTAGCTGGGCATGGTGGTGCGCACCTGTAATCCCAGCTACTGGGGAGGCTGAGGCAGGAGAATGACTTGAACCCAGGAAGCAGAGGGTGCAGTGAGCCGAGATCGTGCTACTCAGTACACTCCAGCCTGGGTAACAGAGCAAGGCTCCCTCTCAAAAAAAAAAAATCACATTTTATTTCTTCTGTAGGTCATACGCTTTTTAGTTCTTTATTTTATTTTTATTTTTATTTTTATTTTTATTTTTATTTTTATTTTTATTTTGAGACAGATTGCTATTGTAGCCCAGGCTGGTGTGCAATGACGCGATCTTGGCTCACCGCAACCTTTGCCTCCCAGGTTCAAGCAATTCTCCTGCCTCAGCCTCCCGAGTAGCTGGGATTATAGGCACACATCACCACGCCCGGCTAATTTTGTATTTTTAGTAGAGACGGGGTTTCTCCATGTTGGTCAGACTGGTCTCAAACTCCTGACCTCAAGTGATCTGCCCCCCTCAGCCTCCCAAAGTGCTGGGATTACAGGCCTGAGCCACCGTGCCTGGCGATGGTTTTTAGTTTAAAGGGAATCTTTTTCTCATGAGTTTAGCCTTGAATTCTACTGAGATTTACATTGGAAATCCTGTTTGCCTTTTGTTTGCCTTGTACAGCCATACTTTTATGCACTTTTTTCCTACTAATGTGTTTAGTTATTTTGCTTTTCGTGTTGATATATTTATTCAACAGACTGTCTCGGTGTTACAGTGGCGATGGGGATACAACCCTGCCTTCATGGATCTCCTGGGCTGATTGGGGGGACAGATAATAAACAAGTAAATGAATGAATAAGTAACTACAGAAGTTTAGTTTTGCTCTAATGTGGTAGCCATTAACTTCATACCGGTTATTTAAATTAAAAATGGATAGTAGCTTACTCATTCAGCACATATTGTCAGACACAATGGTACTTTCTGCACATGGGTTATCTCCTTTGATTCTTAGAGCAACATGAGGTACGTATTGTTATTGGTCCTACTTACGAGGTAACCAGGACCAGGCACGTGAAAGATGAGTAATGACCCCAGGATACTGTCTCCCTCACCCTCAACTGTGGGGGTAATTTTTACATTAAAAATTAAGGCCAGATTCCATAGCTTACGCCTGTAATCCCAGCACTTTGGGAGGCTGAGGTGGGCAGATCACTTGAGCTCAGGAGTTCAAGACCATCCTGGACAACATGGCGAAACTCTGTTTCTACTAAAAATACAAAAATTAGCAGGGGTGGCGTCGCACACCTATAGTCCTTGCTACTTGGGAGGCTGAGTTGGGAGGATTGCTTGAGCCTGGGAGGCATTGCAGTGAGCGGAGGTTGTGCCATTGCACTCTAGCTTGGGTGACAGGGTGAGAACCTGTCTCAAAAAAAAAAAAAAAATTAAATGTTTTGTTCCTTACTTGCATGTGTCGTATTTTATGTGCTTGATAGTCATATGTCTAGTGGATACTGTATGGAGCAGTGCAGATGTGGGACACTTCTGTCAGGGCACGAAGGTTTGTTAGACAGTGCTGCCTTAGATGCTGTCATGGAGATGGGTTGGTTCTGAGGTACAGTGTCAAGTCACTGGGGGCACCTGGAGTGGTGACCTGAGAAAATCTGAATTTTGAGAAGGAACCTGTATAGTGAGGGTGTTGTATATAGGGTATGTGATACTTGTATTTAGGATTTTGGTAAAAAGTGACTATTCATAAGCGATTTAAAGTTTCTGTTTTAAAAGTATAGGATTTTTAGGTAGTGTGTTTTCTCTTGTTCTAATAGGAATTGTTTTTGGTCATATTAGGGAAAATAATTGGCATGTTGATACATTTTTATTTTAGTTAAATAAATCTGGTCGCCAATATTTACTTTTATAAATTCAAAAATGGTTAAGTGTTTCGTAAGTATTTTGAGCTTGTCTTTGAAAAGAGATAGACAGATGCAGTGGCTCAAGCCTGCAATCCCAGAACTTTGGGAGGCTGAGATGGGAGGATTGTTTTTCAGGAGTTCAAGGCCAGCCTGGGCATCATAGCGAGACCCCATCTCTACAAAAAGTAAAAAAATTTAGCTGGGTGTGGTGGTGCACGCCTACAGTCCCAGCTCCTTAGGGGGTTGAGGTGGGAGGAGGGCTTTTCCAATTGTCCTACAGATATTTTTCAAAATGACTACTTTTAAAGTATAATCTTTTTATTCAGAGGTGGGATGCTAATTCTACAATTGCCCAGGACTTCTTTAATTTGTATATGTTAAGATATTTTAATGGTCAATTTAAGAAGTGTTGAAATTTATAAGAATCATTTCTGTATGTTAGAGTTGTGATAACGCAGACATTTTCCCTGTAGTACTTCTCTGAGTCTGATTTGTTTTCCTCCATGGGTACCACATAGGTTTATTTTAAGATGGTAAAAAATGAAAGCTAACTAAGGTACATACTGATTATCCCAGACAACATGCCGACATCACTAAATAAGAGTGCAGTTCTCTTCAACTCACTATTTGTTTCAATTAGAAAAAAACTGATCAAAACTAATTTTTCTGCATGAAATGTCTTTTCAAATCACACTGAATGTGATTTATTAATAGTAATTCATCAATTTCAGTTTTCTGCTGGATGCTAAAAGAACACCTCATTAAAACTAGTGTTTATGCAAATAGTACAATTTTTAAAAACTTTTGATTGTAAAAATTTCTGTTACACTGAATACATACAGATATGTTACTGTTCAGATATTATTTACTACTTGCATAGAAACTCACTGATCTTCTAACAAGTAGAAAAGAGACCTTTAGCCAAATGCTTCTGTACTCAGCAATAAAAGGATTAATTACTGTTTTGCTCTTTTCTGGTTAAAGATTTTAAAAAATCTTATTTTTCCTTTTGCTATTAAACCACAACTTGTTTAAATTTTGTCGCTATTGCAGTATTGCAGCGGACGTTACAGTTCGTGTCTCCCTATGTATATGTTTCTCTGGGCTGTGTACATGTACGAGTGTGGGCCTGACCTGTCACATTCAATTTTTAATTTACAGTCTTATGTCTAATGCTCATCATTGCATAATGTAACTAGCTGGGATTAGTTTCCTTGGTCCCCGACTCTTCAGAGCCTGTTTTCTCTCCATTTACAGACGGGCCAAGGTTGCTCGGGTGATTGGTTTACTGGCTTCGCACACAACTGAGCTCCAGGAAAATACTCCTGTTGTTGAGGTAAAGTCTTTTATTACTTAAATGTGATGAATGACAAGAAATACTGTTCTTGATTCTGTAATTTAGAACATGCAGCTTTCACTGATCTTCACTTGACTTTTCTCTGTGGGATTGTGGCAATCGTTCTAAAACTGTCACCTCAACAGACGTTTAGGCTTAAACGTAGCAGCACATTTACAACGTAGTCCATCATTAAAATGGCACAGCAGAGTTAACAAGGCTTGTGAACTCTGCTCATCATTCTTTCATTTGTTTTTGAATAAGGCTTTTTTCATTTCTAGTTTTCTTGTAGTCTGTCTAATAGACTAATGTATTTCCTAGTTAAAGCATAGCTTACAATTCAAAATTCAAATTCTTCTGGCCTTTCACCTTGAATTTAGTGTTTTCGTATGAAAGATTACTTTCTACCTATTCTGTTAATGTATGTTACACTTAATCGGTAATGGAGTTTTATCACTTGATCTGGGAAGAGGCTCAAGAGTCAGCATAGGTGAAAAGAACCAAGGCTTTTAGGGGCAACAGCAAGAGCTCCTGAAGGAAGTAAAGGGGTAAGGAGAGGGGATTTTGTAGAGTTGAAGCTGGGGTTGTGTGGTATTTGGGGCTTTGAGAGGAATTGGAAAAATTTCTGTCTTGTCCACTATAGTAGCCAATTGGTATTTGGAGCCTTAAGAAGAACTGGAAAATTTCCTCTCTGTGCCGTTCACTGCAGTAGCCAATTGCTGGGATAGTTTCCTAGCTGGCCTTATAGTGTCTGGGTGGAGATTAATTTAATTTCACTGTATTTCCCTTGCTTGCAATTCCATCTCTATTTCCTGCAAACTGTTGGATCTCTGAGCTGCTAGTAAAATGCTACTAAGTCTAAATTTTTCCTTTTTTTGTGGTGGGGCGAGGGGGGACTAAAATAAATGAATTGTGACCTATATAATTACCAGTGGTACCCAGCTTGGTTCTCAGAGATGTGACGAGTAGATTTTTATCTGAAAGATTGAGCATATAGGGCAGTATCACCAGGAAGATGAGAAGGCTTAGGATCTCAAAAATGGGAGTTCCTTCTGAGGGCTCAGAGCAAAAGGTCTCCAGTGAGATGGAGTAGCTGTAGGAGAAGGGAGAGAACTTAAAGTCCAAGACAAAGTCCCAGCATTTTAGAGGGTATCCCTGCATCATCAGAGCAGGCATTTGTTGCTCAGGAGCTGTGAAGAAAGAGCCTCTGAATATGTAAAATATGACTGTTGAATTAAATTATTCAGTAGTTGCAGTAATAAGTAGGATGGATACTTTAGGAAGCTGAGTTAGTGAATTTGAAGATCAGTTGGATGAATTCTCTTAGGATTCATAAAGAAAGAGGATAAAGATTATGAACTAAAAAGTCATGGATGATAGTTTCAGATTTGTTGAACTATCCAGTGTAGTAGCCACCAGCCACTATGGCTATTGAGTGCTTGAAGAAAAGCTAGTCTGCATTGAGATGACCAACTTATAGAAAAGAATAGTATGGCCACCCTGTGATTTCCAAACCCCATTGTTCTACTTTATTACTTTATCTTTTTCACACTATATATCACCTGGCATTTTATGTATTTATTTCTCTTTCCACACTAGACTACAAGCTCCATTGGAAAAGGGATTTTGAACTGTCTTGTTCAACACTCCACCCCAGTGCCTAGACAGTGCCTTGTGTATATATAGATACTGACAAATATTTCAAAATAAATGAATAAAACTCTATCAGTATTCTTGGAACTCCCTGTAGCAGTGCCTGGAAGATGGTGTGTTTTGCTGTTGCAGGAATTCTCAAGGGACTGGGCAGAGGGCATGTGAAGTAACCTGGGACCTGCTGGTCACCCTGGGTGATGTGATGCCCTCATTCTTGCTGTTGCTGCTGCTGCACTCCCACTTGGAGAGTTTGGCCCAGCAGTTCCTGAACCATATTTGTTACCTGTTCTCACTAGGGTTGAGTTCTTTGGCCAGTTTTTATTCTCAAAGTATTTCTCCTACTCCAGTTGTACTTTGTTGACATTGTATTCCTGGTGCTGCCTCAACTGAGAGGAAAGGGTGGGTGTTAACTCCCGAGGTTCTTGTATCTTTTATTCCAGTACTGTCCTCTTCATGGCTGTTTGCTGATGCTTTATTAGTTTGAAATGCAAGAACTTAGGGAAAATCATACTTATTTCATTAAAAAAAATGGCATATACTGAACTATCTGGTGAACTGTTTTGAATTACACATACTGTATTGTGAACTACATTTGGTTGGATAATAGCTTGTATAATAACTTGAAATTGAGCGAGGTGCTCCTTTGTGATGCCATCTTAATTTTTGTTATTTCTCAACACTTTTTAGTTACTTCATTACTTTCAATGGCAAAAATTGTCATCACTTTTCCACTAACCTAATTCCTGCTGTGAGCAATTGGCTGTGATAATTTAAGTAGCCACTAGAGGTCATTCAAGCACTAGGAAAAAAATTGTGCAAGTTTGAAGAATTTATGTTTCAGTTTCCAGAAGCAGGATCTGTGGAAGCTGAGCAAGTACGTGGTACCATGTTTCATCTTTTTCTTTTTTTTTTTTTTTTTTTTGAAGTTTCTGCTACAGGATGTGTGGCTCCATTCCACTGGTGATTTTTTACCATTTGAGATGAATAAGATAAATGAAAACCATTATAGTCTCTCCAGAAAAATACTGTCAACACTTAGCACATGATTTTAGGGGATCTGGGAACCCTGTGGAGTGAACCTTTGGTTCATAACTCTTGAGACCAGGTTTCTGTATAACTCACAATTGGGTGCTTGTAGATAATTTTTCAATAATCAGTAACAAAATTTCAAGTGTGAGATGAATCCTGAGTTCTCTATTAGGGTTACTCTTAGTGAACAAGAAAAATTGTGGTTGTAGATCCTATTAGCATTTTATTTTTTACTTTATTTATTTATTTTTTGAGACAGAGTCTCGCTTTGTTGCCCAGGCTGTAGTGTAGTGGTATGATCTCAGCTCACTGCAACCTCTGCCTCCCGGGTTCAAGGGATTCTCAGCCTCTGCCTCACAAGTAGCTGGGACTGCAGGTTCATGCCACCACACTCCTTCTAATTTTTGTATTTTTAGTAGAAACATGGTTTCATCATGTTGGCCAGGCTGGTCTTGAACTCCTGGCCTCAAGTGATCCACTTGCCTTGGCTTCCCAAAGTGCTGGGATTACAGGCGTGAGCCACTGCACCTGGCCCATATAAGCATTTTAAAGGCATAGAACCTCATTTTGTTACTCACCTTTGTACCCCACAGTGCCGAGCCAGCAAAGTAATGTGTATTTTAGGCACTCAGTCAATGCTGAAGAGTTTAATGAATGATTAAAAGAATGTCAGAAGAGTATGATGGTATAATTTGTTACAAAGAGACAGAGAAAATGGAGCAAAAATCTATTTTACTATCCCTGTAATATAATTTAAATCTCTTTCATCTTATTCTCTCATCAACAGCTACAGAAAATAACAGTCATGATCTCCTTTATGCATTTATAAGCATTTATTGACATTTGTATCTTTTTCACAGAAAAATATAACCATCTGAAGCTTATTTTCCTAGATAACACATTTACCACTCTGTAATCATTGTGGTTTCTATGTGTAATAATTTTAAAAAATATTTCTGATATTAAGCCAACATATTTAGTCTGAAGCATGCAGTGGATATATTTTAGGAAATTTAATATAGACCCATCAAATTCTAGAACTGAAAGGAATTTTTTTTGTGACCAAGTCTTACTCTGCCGCCCAGGCTGGAGTTCAGTGGCGCGATCTTGGCTCACTGTAACCTCTGTCACTGAGGTTCAAGCGATTCTCCTGCCTCAGCCTCCCGAGTAGCTGGGATTACAGGCATGCACCACCACACCCAGCTAATTTATTTTGTATTTTTAGTAGAGACAGGGTTTCACCACGTTGGCCAGGCTGATCTCGAACTCTTGATCTCAAATAATCCACCCGCCTCAGCCTCCCAAAGTGCTGGGATGACAGGTGTGAACCACCACTCCTGGTCAAAAGGAATGTTAATAGACATTTTAGGTTAACCCATTCATTAAATTTCTTTATTATCAGCTGGGCATGGTGACTCATGGCTGTAATCCCCGTACTTTGGGAGGCTGAGATGGGAGGATAACTTGAGCCTAGGAGTTTGAGACCAGCCTGGCCAACATAAGGAGACCCTGTCTCTAGGAAAAATAGAAACAGTTTGGCGTGGTGGTGCGCATCTGTGATCCCAGCTACTCAGGAGGCTGAGACATGACCCTGGGAGGTTGAGGCTGCAATGGGCTTGGGCTACTATGCTATTGCACTCCAGCCTGTGCAACAGAGCAAGACCCTGTCTCAAAAAAAAATTTTTTTTTATTATGGAAAATTTCAACATATATAGAAGTAGAGAGAATAGAATAATGAGGTAGCATCATTCCCTTCCAGCAATCAACACTGACTAATCTTGTTTCATCTTGTCTCCTGCTTTCATTCCCCCTTTCCCTTTTTCTCTCCCTCTCTCTTTCTTGCTGGAGTATTTTAAATAAAATAGTATCATTTTGCTAGTAAATATATTTTTCTAGCAGACAAGGATTAGAAAAATATATAACCGTGGTTTCATTATCACACCCAATACATTCAACAGTAGTCTCTGAGTATCATCTAATACCCAGTTAGTGTTCAGATTTCTTGGTGGTTTCATACATGTCATTTTGTAATTTCTCTTTGAGCCAGGGTTGTGTTTAGATAATGTGACCCTTAAGTCTCTTAATTCCTGATCTCTTATTTTTTAGTGTCATTTATTTGTTACAGACAAATTTTCCCTTATCTTGGCCCAAATTGGAATACCAGAAGCTTTATTGCACCCTTTTGGTATTATTTAACATAGTCCTTTATCACCTGCCTTTCCTTTCTTGCACATGGCTGCTTAGATGTGGACCCTTGATGCAGTACTTTTATGGGGGGGGATAGCTTGGGGAAATAGGAATTTGTCATAGTTGGTGCT